TAAGAAAAAAAGTTCCCACTTTTTCTGGATGATAAAACAGAGACCCAAACACCAGACATAAAGATATGTCCGTAGAAAGAACAATGCAATTTCCACAGAGAATGAGATGTGGAAATTCTGAATCCAGTACTTCTTTATCGCAAGGTGTTGAGATTTAAACAGAGACACTCAACACAACGGTTTCAGTATCTTCTCAGATTTTATTTTTTAAAAAAAGACAGATTTAGGATATGGTTAAGAAATTACTAAGTTACATTTTTGAAAATCTGCCAAGTGCTATAGTAATGGAATAAATAAATAAGATTTTTATTTTCCATGTTTATAGACATATTTATATAAAAAAAAATGTCTGAATTGGAACACATGTAATGTTGATACACCAGGAAGGGATTTAGACAAGGAAAGGCACATCATTTCACCACAAGAAATAAAGACCACAACTGGAGGTTAACAACCAGCCAAAGCTTTAGATCTTGTGGTTGTTATCCTAGCTCTGGAAGGTCATTACAGTGGAACCTTCTGTATGGTAGTTAACTAGAATAGATAACAGTTGGAGGATCTAATTTTGAGACCCAATATAATGTTAAAAAGAAAACACTCTTTTAATATGCCTATGTGTGAAAAGGAAAGGAGCAAACATCTAAAATGGCTTGGTGGTACTGAAGATCCTACTGACATATTTAGGACCATTACAATACAATAAAAGATTAACCCTCTATTTCTGAATGAATTAGAATTATTTTCATTACAAAGTTAAAACTTTAAATAAACACTATATTCCTCACTTTCTTTCTTATAGACAGACACAGTGTAGATATAAACAGCTGCCATATTTCACCTCAGATGAAACTATAAGCCAATGTTTAGGGAACAACATCTTAGATAATTTCCCTACTTTACACAGCTTACGTGTTTGAAAACAGCATTAATACCTCTGGCTGACTGGCTATCTATAAGACTGAACATGAAGTTATGACAAAGATAAGACGTTTTCCAAAGAAACCAGAGTTTCTAGTTGAAAAGATATACATTATTTTTACTGAAAAGTCTAGCAGACATAAGTACAACTTGCTTTGGGTTTCTCACTACCAATTTTCTTTGACAAATGTGTGCCAAGTCTGATCACTGTTTTCTCTCTGGACTCTGAACCTAGTTGGCACGTTTGAAAGGTAGAATCCTTCAGAGTCAATGATACAAATTTTAGTGGTATTAAAAAAGCAACTATATGTATGTGTTCAAATGTGTGTGCCTGTGTGTGTATATTTATGTGTATTTCTATATAAATAAAATGGATTTTCAGGATGAAAATCATATATCCAGAAAAAAATAAAATTAAAAACAATTGAGAGGGAACAAAGGGAAATATTATCAAAAGATAATAAAAATGGCAAGTGTAGAGTAGGCAGCCTCCTGCTCATGCCACACGATACGCCTTCATTAAGGTATACTCTTTGCGGTTGGTATGAGCAGCCCAAATGAAGAGAGCAGAAGCCATGAACTGCAATGGAGCTGAGACGCAAGCCAGGCAGAAGGACCATCCAAATTCTCCTAACACATTCGTAGGCAGCTGTAGTTTCTGGTGGAGTAGTTTTATTCCAGCAACATAACAACTTACTGAGCCTAGTGTACACAGACCTGCAAGGAGATGGAGAATTCCCGTAGCAATGGTGGGATATAAGCTTCGGCAGATACAAGCACAAAGTCCGATCAAAGCCCCAAAGCACATCAAACCTAGGCTAACAAAAGGTAAAAGGAACTGGCAACGCCAAAGATAGGTCCGAAGTAGATCAATCCCACTATTGTGGTTTCCAGGATCAACAAATTTCTCCATGAACTGCTCATTTAGTGTGAAACTGAAGCATTGTGTGACCACATCAAATGATTCTGTCCTCTCTGGTGGGCTATACCAATGTGTGTTTTTGGGTATGGTAATACACCTTCTCCACAATCCCAGAGTGCCATTGTACCGAAAAAGTGCATCATTGTAAGTCTTTTCATCTGCTTCATCACTAATGAAGTCATCCCAGATGCTTTTGTTCAATTCACTGGAATTTTCTTGAATTGGACTTCGATATTCAAACCAGAAGTCTGTGCCAATTGAGGCTGCCATGTAGATGGTGGAAATGAGGCTAAGCACACAAGCAATTACAAATGCTGTAGCAAAACGGTTATCCATTCTGGCATTCAGACTGCTCGCCCATCCTCCTGCTCCACCAGCTTCACCCTTTAGCTCAGACCACAGCACCCTTCTCTCCCAGCGCCTCCTCTGACGCACTTCCCTGCAGGGCCCGCCCCCTCCATAACTCCCGCGCCTCCACCTCTGCCTCCACCCAGGGCCAGGCCCAGGGCCAGGGCCGAGGGGGCCTTCAATCATTTTTGAGTAAGAACATTGTTGACCTATAAAAATGAAACAAACATTTTTGGTAGGCCAAAATTGCATTAACATCTATTGTATCAATTCTGTTATTTGAAGCAATTTTTATTACATAGTCAATGCTGATGTTTTCTTGCTGGTTGGTTAGAGTTAGAGCTCCCTTTAGTGGAAGAGCAAAGCAAATTATCTTTCTGGAGCCCATTTAAACTTTTTAAATCCATTGCAATAGGCTTATATAATTTTGGAGCCTGTCAAGAATTCATACTACTTAATTTTTCTTCTTGTTAAATTTTTATTAACTTGTGCATCTCTTTGCTTATGCTTATTAATATGGCATTCGATTTAGTATTGGTATGATTGTGATAGCATTTATCATAATGTGTATAATCTATAATTGTTGTTTCTTAATTTTTCACTATATCATCAATTATCTCTAACACACAGGGAAAGTGTAGAGAAATGTTAGCTTTAAGGTTTTATACTGTTAGCACTGTAATAACAGTAAAAAGCAAAATTAGCTTACATTTTATGTAATTTAGTATTTGAAAAGGAACTTACTGATGGTTGATGAAGGTTCTTTAAAACAGAAAGAAAAATAAGACATGAGTAATTCATAGTACATGAAAACATAACAAATAAATTTCTCTAGGTTTGTGAGTTACTAGAACAAAATTGTCACTCATGCAATATTCAGAGGATGACTCCAAAAAGAAAAGTCAAGGACATTTCAAAATAGCTGACAACATTTGTGTTGAACGAAAGATCATTTTAAGAGGTAATTAATCCCAGAAATTTTTGTGTTCAATTTTCAGGGCCTTTGTGCACTTTGCCTTTCCTATGGCGAAAAAAGAAAATTCATATCTTTTGAGAAGGTGGTATATGATGTTTCAGTATTTAAAGTTTTATCTATCACTTTTTTTTTTCTATTTTACTAGGTTTTTGGTGAAACTTTACACAGTAAGTTAGGTTCCCATTTGACAATTTTTACACAAATTGTTTAGTGATATTAATTACATTCTATTCTCTTTAACTGTGTTCTGGTTGTTCCATTTCCAGTACTCTTAATTTTTCTGCCCCCTTATCATTTCATGTTTGCATTAGAGTAAATGCTGACCTTTTGTTCTCATACAGATGTTTTTTCAGTAGAGCACCATTCTTACAGGTAATATCCTTTATTCTGTGTGCCACTCTGCTATTTTGCTAAAGGTGATCTCGGGATAGTTTCAGTTCAGGGTTTAAAGAGTGTCTCAGGGAGATAGTCTCAGGGACTCATCTGGTGTTAACTGGTCTTTGTTAAGAATTCGAGTTTTGTCCTACATTTTTCTCTCATTCTATCTGGGCCTATGAGTTGTGACCCCAGTCATAATGGTCAGTGGTGGTGGCTGGGCAACATCTAGGTCTTCTGGTCTCACGGTAGATGAGGTCATGGCTCAAGTAAATAATCAGCCTTATTTGGGAGCTCTGGTAGCATAGTGGCTAAGACACTTGCCTGCTAACCAGACGGCTGGCGGTTCAAACCCACCAGCCACTCCCCGGAAGGAAGGTTGGGCAATCCTACTTCCGTAGTGATACTGCCTCGGAAACCCAAGGAGGGGTCGCTATGAGTCGGGGCCGACTCGATGGCACATAACAACAACATATACTTATTTCTTCTCTAAGATTTTGGTTACCTTCTTACTCTTTTGCTCCTGATAAGTAGAGACCAATAGTTGTATCTTAGATGGCCACTGTCAAGCTTTTAAGACCCCAGATGCTACTCACTTCACTAAGATGCAGAACATGAATTTTGTGAATTAGATTGTGCTAATTGATTGAATTATCCTATGAGACCCATCACCCTTTGTTCTTCTTTCAAAACTGAACTCTTGTCTACTGTATAGACTTCCTATACATTTTGTTTTGAAAAGGGTTTTTATTTGTTTTGTGGCATATAATTTTATAATAAGTGCATTTAAACTTTTCTTCAATTGGTCAGTAACTTCACAAAGACTCTCTGATTTGAGGGGAACACAGAAAGCATAACAATAACATTGAAATTTGCAAAGTTGATGTTGGCCAAAGCCAAAATTTTCTATCAAGATATCTTCATGCACATAATTTTCCAGGCACTACTTAAGAAAAGTAACTTACTGGACATTGCCTCAGCAGTTCCTGAAAAACAAACAGAATTAAATAAGGTTTGACCTCCTACTTTAGGCCTACCCAAAATATATCTTTGTGTTGTTTCAATATCTAGTTTCCCTAGAACCTGAAGCTTCCAAACCAGCTACAATAACCTTTTAATTTGGAAGTTCTAGTAAAAGCATTTGTATATCAACTATTTTTGTATTCATTTCCCTTCCATTTTTCATCTTAGTGATACTTAGTGTACTGCATGTAAAGTTTAACTCTACTTTAATTATTTCTTTCTTCTCTTCTCTACCTTTTTAAAAAATGATTATTAAAATTTATTATAAAATATACATAGTTATTAACTGATTTTCACCTGTGTGCATTTGCTTGCACCTGAAGCCAAGGAAGGTAAAAAGTAAGTCTGTCAAAGGGTAGCCACAAGTTGGCTCCTGGAAATCTCAAAAAAAAAACCCAAACCAAACTCACTGCCATCGAGTTGATTCTGACTCATAGCAACTCCCATTGGGTTTCTGAGGCTATACGGAAGTAGATTGCCCCATCTTCCTTCCATGGAACGGCTAGTGGATTTGAACCCCTGACTTTCTGGTTAGCAGCCAAATGCCTTATCTGCTATGGAATTCTCCAGATAGTTCCAAATGGGAGGGCAAATTCACAGAAAACTCTGCTGACCTCTTGCTGATGATGGCTACCTGTCCTGGTGCTGCCCTGGGCCCTTCTGGGCTGCAAATCAGTCTCCTGGAAAGGAATCCATCTGTCCACTTCAAGGAGGCCCTGGGCAGCTGAGGGAGGTGGGGACTACCCCTTCCTCTCTTTTAATTCTGTGATTAATTTCCTTTCCCTGTTCCCAACTCATTTAATACATTGATAGATTTCTTTTCTGTCATAGTATGAACATTCTAATTTTTTTTCAATAGATTAATCAATTTTCTTGATACAACAACAATATAGCTCTCAGTTTATTTTTTGCATAAATCAGAGGATTTCAATGACAAGTTAAGTACTGGTAACTCTAAAGTTATTAGCTTTTAATCTTATTAAAATGAAAAATGTGTTAATAGAATCTATGCATACTGAAAAAAAAAAAAGAAGGTGGGGACCAGGTTTGCTGGTCCAATAGAGCCTGGTGTAACCACTGAGACTATGGCCCCTAGCTGCCCTTCAGGTCTGGAATTGAACCCACAACTGTGGTTTCCAGACAAACAAAGTACAGGCATGTGAGTTAAACATTTACCTCAAGTGGACACACGCCCTGGAGAGAACAATCATGGGAGAGGGAAGGGCTGCTTATGCACAGGGAGATAGCTCAGGGTTCAGAAGAGTATGAGGGGATGGCCACTGGGAGGAGGTGACTATGGGGAGGAAGTGGGAGGGGAGCTGTTGCATTGTAAATTTTGGTCAATGACATGAGACAAGGTGTATGTGAACTGCTGTATGAAAAGTGAATTTGCTCTGTAAATCTTCACCCAAATCTAAATAAAATTAAAAAAAAAATTACCAACACACACACACACACACACACACAAAGAATCTATGCATACTGTGTTAGTCCAGTGTATACCAGTCGTGTTATGGTAACCTTAGGCATGCCCGCTGGCTCACTGACAACTAAGATCAATGCTACTGTTGTAAGATAATACATTTACCTGGAGGTGGTGCAGCTCTTCCTGAAATATAAAACAAGTAAACATCAACCTATTTTAATTATTCTATTATTGGACTTAAATATTGCTTAATTTCCCTTTTGAAATTACATGCAGGAAATGCCAAAATTATAGTTCCTTTGGTATTATAAATCCAGACAAGGAAGCCCTTTATTAAGTGTGTAGTCCTGGGATAGGAAAGAATCTTAGAGGAATCTTCATCTAGCCACCTCAAATGTATTTAGCTGCACACACACACAGAATGTGTGTGTGTCCCAGCTTTGAGACCTTTCAGAGACTGGAAAACCACTGTTTATTTAACCTGAGTTGGTTGTTTTATTTTTGCTTTTCTTTCTTTCTTTGCTTCTTCCTCTTCCTTTGTTTCAAGTAGCCTTCATGATCTTGAATAAGAAAACCAGAACCATCCCAAAATTCTTTTGGACTGATTTTCATCTCTCCCTTTAAAAATTAATAGACTGTTCTCTGTCAGAAAAGTCCAGTTGGGGATTCTTGGGAGTTGGGATGAAAGTAGGATCAGATTCTGCATAACAGAATTGAAAAACATAGCACTGAAGAAATTAGTTCTAAATTCTTTTTTAGATTAAAGGACCCAATAATTGAGAATGAAACAAGTGACTTACTGATTGGTACAGCAGATCCTAATTTGGAGAAAAATAATTTCCATTATAAAAATATATTTTATTATATTAATATCCAAGATATTTGTCTATAGTTAGCTAATTGGTCATTTCCTAAATTTTAATTCAAAGCATTTGGCTTAGTTGTAAATAGCTTGCTACAATATTTATTTTCTCTTGTAATGTTTTCTTTGGTCATGTACTGTGTGTCACATCCATTTTGAAGTCTTGCTGCTCAACTGATGAAAAACATATTTGTTTCTTTACTATTCCAACAACATTGAGTTTAGTCTCACTCATCTAATAGGCATAAATTATAAATTACAAAGGTTACAGTATGCATTTATTTAATAATTAGTGTTTCTTGTTAATTTTCTCATGTGATTTCAGTGTTCATGTTCTTTAACTATTTCCCTGTAGATCTATAATGACTACATAGATATTTGGGATTTTCAATTGGCTAAATTTTTTTTTTTTTTT